TTCCAAAAACACCTAGGGAGCCACAGGTTATTCAAGCCTGCCTTAGGATGAATTAGCCAATGCAGGATGTGCAATTGGATCATCAAGAAAAGCATTTCCTGTCCACTTTCTAGTCCATTATTAATTATTGTGACCAAAAAAGTATCCGTTGTTTAGCCATATTGCAAGTTAACCTCTGACATCCATAGACAAATCTCAAACATATGCTTCATGCTCAGTGAAGCTATGATCGATACCTTATTGCTTTTTATTCCAAAACTATAAAAATAAAACATCAAAGACTCTTATAGTGGGGGAAAATGTATTTAGTCAGTTACCAATTGTACAAGTTCTCCCACTTATAAAGATGAGAGAGGCCTGTAATTGACATCATAGGTAGACTTCAACTATGAGAGGCAAGATGAGAAAACACATCCAGAAAATTACATTGTCTGATTTTTAATGAATTTATTTGCAAATTATGGTGTAAAATAAGTATTTGGTCCATAACAAAAGTTCATCTCAATACTTCGTTATATATCCTTTATTGGCAATGACAGAGGTCAAACGTTTTCTGTAAGTCCTCACAAGGTTGGCACATACTATAGCTGGTATGTTGGCCCATTCCTCCATGCAGATCTCCTCAAGAGCAATGATGTTTCAGGGCTGTTGTTGGGCAACACGGACATTCAACTCCTTCCAAAGGTTTTCTATATGGTTGAGATCTGGAGATTGGCTAAGCCACTCCAGGACCTTGAAATGCTTCTTACGAAGCCACTCCTTTGTTGCCCTGGCGGTGTGCTTGGGATCATTGTCATGCTGAAAGACCAGCCACATTTCATCTTCAGTGTTCTTGCTGATGGAAGGAAGTTTGCACTCCAAATCTCATGATACATGGCCTCATTCATTCTTTCATGTATATGGATCAGTGGCTCCGGTCTCCCTGTTCCATGCTTCACAGTAAGTATGGTGTTCTTTGGATGCAACTCAGCATTCTTTCTCCTCCAAACACGATGAGTTGTATTTCTGCCAAACAGTTCTACTTTGGTTTCATCTGACCATATGACATTCTCCCAATACTCTTCTGTATCATCCCAAATGCTCTCTAGCAAACTTCAGTCGGGCCCAAACTTATGCAGGGGGGCACATCTGGCACTGCAGGATCTGAGTTCCTGGCAGCATCGTGTGTTACTGATGGTAGCCTTTGTTACGTTGGCCCCAGCTCTCTGCAGGTCACTAGGTTCCCCCATGTGGTTCTGGGATCTTTGCTCACTGTTCTTCTGATCATTATGACCCAACGGGGTGATATCTTGTGTGGAGTCTCAGATCAAGGGAGATTATCAGTGGTCTTGTATCTCTTCCATTTTCTAATAATTGCTCCCACTGTTGATTTCTTCACACCAGGCTGCTTGCCTATTGCAGATTCAGTCTTATCAGTCTGGTGCAGGGTGACAATTTTGTTTTTGATGGCATTCACCATAGTGGACTTTGTAGTGTGACTGCTTGAGGTTGTGGACAGGTGTCTTTTGTACTGATTACAAGTTCAGATAGGTGCCATTACTACAGGTAATGTGTGGAGGGCAGAGGAGCCTGTCTGTGAGACTCAGAAATCTTGCTTGTTTGTAGGTGACCAAATACCTATTTTCCACCATAATTTGGAAATAAATTCGATAACAATCAGACAATGTGATTTTCTGGATGTGTTTTCTCATGTTGTCTCTCATTGTTGAGGTCTACCTATGATGTCAATTACAGGCCTCTCTCATCTTTTTAAGTGGGAAAACTTGTACAATTAGTATCTGACTAAATATCTGAGGAGATATGATAGCCATGTATAAATATGTGAGAGGAAGCCACAGGGAGGAGGGAGCAAGCTTGTTTTCTGCTTCCCTGGAGACTAGGACGTGGAACAATGGCTTCAAACTACAAGAGAGGAGATTCCATCTGAACATGAGGAAGAACTTCCTGACTGTGAGAGCCGTTCAGCAGTGGAACTCTCTGCCCCGGAGTGTAGTGGAGGCCTCTTCTTTGGAAGCTTTTAAACAGAGGCTGGATGGCCATCTGTCAGGGGTGATTTGAATGCAATATTCCTGCTTCTTGGCAGGGGGTTGGACTGGATGGCCCATGAGGTCTCTTCCAACTCTTTGATTCTATGATTCTATGATTCTATAAATACTCCCCCCCCCATAACTTTTAAATATTAATACAATGGACCACTTAATTCAAATTATCATTAAACACATGTAATTACTATAACATTTTAAATTCCCTATAATCCTATTCTAATGTTTTACTTGCTAAATAACAAAAATGTTACATGAAAAGTGTTGCCAGAGGGTAATATTTGTATAATTGAACATCAGAATATATATTCTGTAGATGTCTGTTTTGAAATATTTAGATATTTCTGATCAATTAATGACTAGTAATTAAATGTATTCATCTATAGTCTTGCTGATATCTACTTAAAAGTAAGCTCCAAAATCTATTTGGACTTATTTCTCAGTAGGGCTGTGTTTACAGTCATAGGAACTAAAAAGGAGTTTTCCCCCCCTTCTAAGCAAATTTGCAAGATAGCATATCCTTGTTCCACTTTTTGCCTTTTCCAATTTATTTCTTATGATCATGCCAAAACATTTTAGGCACAAAGCCACTGGTGAATTTATGAGAATACTGTATGATACTAATAATAGTGCCTTCTCTTTCAACTATTTTATGAGCATCATAGTTTCACAGTTCTGCAGTGCCAATATAAAATTTCACTGAATATTCTTTGATTATCATATTTCTTTTGCAAATAATGTACCTGATGCAGTTACTGAACAATCACATTGGTTTTTTTGGATTTGGGTGCATGTGGTTACTCTAGTATTGATATCTCAGATAAACATCTGTGTCTAGTAGCATGTAAAGTTGTTGTAAGGATTTCAGTTAGCTAAGACAAATGACATATTTTGAACCTATGAAATCAAGAAAACGCTGTATTTCATTCCTACAACAGGGTTCTTGATACATTGAAACACTCATAAAACATTGTTGAACTCTTAGAGTTTGACACTCAGGAGCAAGAGTAAAAAGATTAGTATTTTCCCATACTTGTGTGTTGTTGGTTTTCCACAACATATATCATTTTCACCACTGTACCTATAGTAAAAGGGAAACATTAAACTATTTTTATTCACCCAATAGACTCAATGTGACAAGGAGAAGTACATTTTGCATGATAACACAACCTCCACTAATACAATCAGGCATTAGTAGCAGAGCACTAAACAGCATTTGCATGGAGCAACACAAGTCATCACCATCTGGAAAAATAGACAACTGGAGAGACAGGGGCACCCTCAAAAGCAAAAAGAGCAGCACAAGCAAAAAAAAAGCAACAAGTAAAACACCATTGCTTCTGTAAAGCAACTAGATGAAAGAAGCTGCCTAGTGTTTATAGATTCAGAATATCAAAAGGACTATCCATTTGCTTTGCTGCAAAACAAAATGAAACCAAACAAAAATGCTCTGGGAAAGACAGAAAGATGAGCATAGCCATTTGTCTCTGTAACCCCATGTGTAGCAGTCTTCTGATTGACTTCTTCCAGTTGTCATTTGGGCAGATCTACACAGACAAATAACCTAAGCTGGTCTTGCTCACTGGATATGGGTATGGTCCCCACAGGGCTACCCCAGCCACTGTAGAGTCAGGAAGCAGTCTGTAGCACCTACTAAGGATCTCTTCACATGCTCCTTTTTTTTCATTGGTGGTGACAGGTGCTTAGTAGTTCAACCCCAGAGAATTACTTACAGGGTGTTTCCAGGGCTGAAATGGCATAAACACCTTACCACCACGACAAAATTGCCACCGAAGGGAGGCTCCACATCTTCCCATTAGGAAAGATGGGTTGAGCTGCCTTAAACAGGCTTTCCCACATTTGATGAGGTGGGGAAAACCACTATGGAGCTGGGCATGGGACAACAGGTCCCCATGCCACCTGCATGGGCGCCTCCAGGACACATCGAGACAGCCCAATTTCGGCGTCACATGGGGCAAGGTGGTAGGTCAACAGAAGTGAGGACTTTATAGGCCTTTGGTCTGAACTAGTGTGGGTCTTCTTTCTGTGTTATTAAATTAAGCCTCAGCAATTCTCGTGTGTTTATGCTAGGAGTACTCCCTTAATCAGGGAATACCTTAACTTTGAATTTGCAAGCATGAAAGGACTTAATATATTGTTTACTTCCAATAAGTTCCATCGCAGTCTTGCCAGCCTTGTCTATTTGTAGGCAGTATCCAAAATGTGCTGGTTTTTAAAAACCAGAAAATCTAAGGACATGCCCCATAGAAAACTAAAATTATTTCCATTTACACTATTATTATACCACATATATGGTAGCATTAGAAGCTAATGAAATAGAAATGCATCTTCTAACAGCAGCAGACATTGTTTTTTTCTGGAATTAATTTTATTGAAGAAGATTAATCCACTTTCTATTGACAAATGGCACTTAACACCTGGCATGTGGCCTATTTAATTAAAAGTGGCAAACATGATTAAACCAGTAAAAAGGTGGTCAATATATAAATAAATAAAGTCCCTGTGTGTGACTGTATTAATGCTAAAAGTTTGTGAACCTTTCTTTCTTTTTGGGTTAATTTTATTATAGACCTAGATTTTGACTTTTCTCCTTTAAAACATTTCTCCAGCTTCCCTAATTTGGCAGGGGAGGTTTTGATTTATTCTCTGTTGTCCCACTTTTCCCACTGCTTTTAAATTGTTCCAGTTTTTCTGTCTAGTCTTCTCCTTTGTCCGTAGCTTCCTTGAACTGCTGTATATATGATGTGCAAAGGTGGTGAATTTCATCTCAAGGTGAAATTATGCCAATCACAGTCAAATTAGTAAAATCTCATTCAATGCCATTATGACTACACTGATACTGTTTTGTCACATGTGTCACACAAAAAATATATTAAAACATGTGCTTTGTCATGAAGCAGTAAAATATTTATATTGGTCCTTTCTTTCCCAACTTAGATTTATATTTTTGAAAATAACATCTATTACCAGCCTGATGTGAAGAGTAGCTCTTTGCGACTGACATCATCTGGAAAAGAAGGAATTGTGTTCAATGGAATTGCAGATTGGTTATATGAAGGTAAATTGTACACATTTGTTGCAAACTGCCATCATGTTGACTTCAACTTATGCCACTCCTATGAATGAGTCCTCTAAAGCCCCTTTCATAGCTGAATAAAACACTACATTTTCTACTTTGAACTGGAATGTATGGCAGTATGGACCCAGATAACCCAGTTTAAAGCAGATATTGTGAGATTTTCTGCCTTGATATTCTGTGTTATATGTCAGTGTGGAAGGGCTCTTAGTCACTCACCTTTCATCAATAGCTTGGCTCAGCACAAATACACTTTAGCTTTCTTATACACTCAGAGGGTATTATGAATGTACTTGTTAATTTTTTTTTACGAAAAATGTATTCATTCTAAAACAGTGCTGTTCATTGTTCTTTTACATTTAAAATGTCCTTGCAAAATGGTAATTGGTTATAATAAAAGTATGTTATGCATCTAGAGTAAGCAGAGGTTTTGTTTGCAGTCTCAGAATCTTGTTTATCTCTTTGCTTCAAGATGAACAATGGTATGGGGAACATAATAGAGGACAAAGAACACTGTATTTATAGTAACAGGTCTGAAAATTGGTGTACTTACTGTGTAGTACTATATTGTTAGTAATAAACCTGAACACTTATTGATTTTGCAGGAATGTACATAGTAGAAGTTCAGGGCGACAAGTTCAGGAGATCTACTTCGTCTAAAATTTCAGAGCTAAAGCTGGAGACCTTGGGGAGATGTCTTTGTGATATCACCAGAGTTGTGCCCTGGTAATGGATGTTACAAGAGTGATGTTACAAGGGGCAACCACTGGTGGTGTCATTATGCATGATATACTAGTCATCAGCTACAACTGCCATTCAGATAAAAAGCATGGAAGCTAATGATCTAGTTATCATCTATCTACATGCACACACATACACATATAAATTTCATTCTCGTGGTATCTGTAGAATGCACACATGTGGTACTCTGGTGCCTGTGTGCAGCAGTTTCGGAAGATTTGGTAAATTATTAATCAAGTATGCCCCGCCCCTCTTCTCCAGTCCACGTGCTCAGCGCTAGTTCCACTTTTTCTGTCGCAAAAGCAGCAGCTCTGGAACTTCTCTCCTCCAACCAAACTTTCCTTTTCCTCCCTTACTCTTTCCTTTCCCCGTATGGCGTCCAGCTATAAAAGGTGTGCGGTCTGTGGGGCGAATTTTCCAGACTCAGGTGCCCACGACCTTTGCCTCCTTTGCCTAGGTGAGGCTCACCCGGTTTCCTCCTGTACTGCCTGCAAGGCTCTGATGCCACAGGCAAGGAAATGGAGAAACACCCRCCTTAAAGTGCTCCTTTATGAGCACGCACTCTTCCCTCCCTCCACCCCTCGCCTCCTTCCTGCCGGAGTGCCCTCGGCTGAGGGTCCCACCCCRCTCACCTTCCCCTCGTCGCCTCACCCATCAGCTTCCTCCRTCCGGCCTCCGKCCTCAAAACTAGCCTCCTCTTCCAAGTGGCCACGCACCAACTCGTCCAGCCCCACCTCCGAAGCAGAAGAAGCAGAAGAAGCAGAAGAAGAAGAAGAAGAAGAAGAAGAAGAAATAGGAGGCGGATCCATGCTCACCRCACCATCTCTCGGGGCTGGGCTTCCCCGGACCCACCCACCCCAGCCCAGAGGCCGTGCCACACGCCGAGCYCAGCGRCGCCGATGTCTCCACCAGCAGYGGTCCCACCCTGCCCCGCCCCCAACGCCACTGGGTCGAAGAGCAGCCGCTTCTTCCCCTGACGGCCTCCAGCGAGGTAGAGGCCCAAAGCACCCAGCTTCATGGCTTGGGCCCGAGGCCTCTGGAGGTAGGCCGCCAAGGTTTCTCTCCCTTGGACCCAGCCTACTATGCCTGGCCGGACACACCRGCCTTCTCTCCCTTCCACTCCCACAGCCCTTCTCAATATGGRCCTTCAACTTTCTTTCCCCCTCAGAGGGGGGYGGGCTTCTGACATCTGGCATGGGGAGTCGGCAGGCAAAGCCTATGTCTATGGGCCTATTCTGGTCCCTGAGCACAACCCTGTGACATCCCGTCCTTTCCCCCTCCCCATGGGACTTCATCCTTCCCAAGGCCCCTTGATGTTGATGAAGCCACCAGGATCTCTCCTCTGTCTCAGGATCACACTCTTCTTGCTCTCTGCAACCTCAGGATCAATCCTCCACGCAACCAGTGCCTCCACTGGACACCTCTGCCTTTACTGCCCTCCTCACCTGCCTCTCCAGGGCACTCAAACTCCCTGTGACAGCACCGCACCAACCACTAGATGACTTCCTCTTCCCTTCTGACGAGCAACAACAAGCTCCTCCCCCACCGGTACTCCTCCCCGGGATCACCTACGTGTTACAACTCACGAGGACGCTGGACCCTCCACCTCCCACGGTTAATCCTGTTTCCCGGAGGAACGACCTGCTTTATAGGATTGACCTTTCCGCCGCCCCCTGGGCCTCATGTCCTCCCAAACCAAACACGGTGGTCGCTGACATGACTCCAGGCAAGCAATCTAGGCCCCATTGCACCCCGTCTGACACGGAGAGCAGGAAGCTCGACTCAATGGGCAAAAAGGTGCACACTAGCGCAGCTTTTTTCACCCGCCTGGCTCATTATGAAGCTTATTTCACTGCTTCCCAAACCTACATGTGGAAGCTTCTCACTGCTTACTTAGCGTACCTCCCAGACAATGGTCAACCTATGACTGAGGGCATCCTCCAGGAAGTGCTCACGGCGACTCTGCGGGCCATCTCTTTGCCGTCTCCATGACCATTCGGAGATATGCCTGGCTCCGCGCTTCTACGCTCTCGGAAGAGGGGAGGGCGCTTGCTGAAAACCCCCCAAGCCATGACTCCGACCTCTTCAGCCCGGATACCAACACTCAACTGAAGGAGATGCACGAGGTCAGACGAGTGGCTCATAACTTTGGCTACACAACCCAGAGGCCTCCCCTTAGATTGGTGGCAACCCTCTAATACCTACAACCATAGACAATACCCTGCAGCCACCAGATCCTTCCCACAGGGGACCCTGGCCCAGCCTCCCAGGCAACAAGTGTACCGTCTCCCCCAACAGGGGAAACCCCAGTTTCAGGGGAGGGGCAGGCGTCGCCTTTGACTCCTCTCTGTACCCCTCTCCCTCACTCCCTCACTCACCCCCCTCCCTGAGGGCCCCTCCCCCTTACAGCACGGAGATGCTCTACCATTTTTGTTAGATTTTGCCACCCTAGAAAGGCACCAGCTTCTGCCTGGGGTACATTTTCAGTTCAGATCCCGCTTAGCGCCCTTTTTTTTCGGCCTGGCAGGCCATGGACATAGTCCTCCACGGCTACTTCATTGATTTTGTTTCCCTACCTCCGACTGGGTTCGTGAACCCCACTCGCCCCTCCCAGGGCTTATGGGATGAGGTGCATTCGTTATTGATGAAGGGAGCAATAGTCCCTCTTCACCCTAGGTTTTTTTGATCAGCCTTTTTTCCCGTTACTTTTTAGTTGCCGGGGGCGCCATCCTTGACCTCTGCGCCCTCAACATCTTTGTATATTCTCCCACCTTTCGGATGGTGACGCTGCCCACTGTCCTCCTCCTCATTCCTCCAGGGGTATGGTTCTCCACACTCGACCTCCGGGATGCCTATTTTCACATCTCCATCGCCGCAGGTTCCTTTCCTTCATGAATGGTGACCACTAGGCCTGGGTAACAACGGAAAAATTTGTTTCTAAAATTGATTCGTTTTTTGGGGGTTTTTGCGTTTCGATATTTAAAAGAATTCCGAAATTTTTCTTTTAAAAAGTTCGATATTTACGAAATTTCGTAAATGTTAAAAAAATTACGAAACATTAACAAAACAAATACGAAACAATAACGAATCGATTCGTTAATGGCGGACGCGACCGCGCAATACGCTAAAAAACCTCCAAATGGGACAGGGGGAACTTCTGAAGCTTCCCTCTCCCTCTGTTGTTGACTGTTGGTGTGATATTATAATTTTTTTTCACTAATTAAACAAAAAACAACTATAAAACTTGCCCCAGACATGCGGAAATAATAACGAAACGACCTCAAACTGATAACGAAACGAATACATAATGAATCCGAAGCATTTACGAAACGAATTTAAAAATCCGTTTCATTTTTAAGTTGCTCCAGAATGGTTCGTTATCGCTTCGTTATAAAAAAATAATGAATTTTTAACGAATTACGAATTAACGAAACGAAACCGCCCAGCCCTAGTGACCACACTTTCTCCTACCATGTTCTCCCCTTTGGAATCTCCACAGCGCCCAGGGTCTTCACTAAGTGCATGGCTGCTATGTTTGCCTTCCTCCATATGCAGGGCATGACGGTGTTCCCATACATTGATGACTGGCTCTCCTGGGCCGATTCCGCCACTCTCTCCTAAATGACATTCGCTTCACCCTTTCACTCCTGCAGGACCTGGGCCTCATTGGGAACCATACCAAGTCTCGGCTCAACCCCACAAGGAATATACAGTTCATCAGGGCGGTGCTCAATTCCTCCTCTTGCACTGCCTTTATTCCTGAGGACTGCTTCAGGACTCTCCATACTTCCATCCTTATCTTGAGGCACCAGCCATGGGTTCCAGTGTCCCAGGTCCAGTCCTTCCTCGGACATATGGCATTGACCATGGCTGTTACCCCCTTCGCCCACCTCCACATGCACCCTCTGCAGGCTTGGTTCCTCCAACACTTCGACCACCTCCACAACAGCCCATCCACCCTTCTTCACCCTCCTCCATCCATCCATCGCTCCCTCCGCTGGTGGCTCCTCCGTTCAACGGTCCACGCAGGCATGCCCTTCTGGCCCCGAGAACTATCTCGCATGCTCACCACAGATGCCTCCCTCATGGGCTGGGGAGCACACACTGGTTGTCACTCAACACACGGTCTTTGGACATTGACCAACTGACAGCACCACATCAACCATCTGGAAATGCTTGCCCTATTCAAGGCCCTCCAGGCGTTCCGGGATATTCTGTCCCATCACACCATCCAGGTCTGTACGGACAACACCACCATCATGTGGTATATCAAGAAACAGGGGGACGCTCGGTCATGATCCATCCTGGCACTCACCCTCTACATTTGGAATTGGTGCATCGACAATGACGTCTATGTTATGGCTGTCCACGTCCCCGGCCAGACCAACGACCGAGCCAATCTCCTCAGCAGATTCCCCACCGCAGGGTACGAGTGGTCCCTTCATCTGGACATCATTGTGTCTCCCTTTCACCTGTGGGGCACCCCATCAATAGATCTCTTCGCCACACAGACCAACATGAAGTGTGGCCTCTTCTGTTCTTGGGGGTTACCTCGATACCCGACGGCTGCCTGGGCGACGCCTTCCTTTTCAGGTGGACGTGGCTGCTCATCTACGTCTTCCCACCATGGGACACCTGTGCCACTTAGCAGCTACATAGCAGACACAGAGAGAGAGAGAGACCCAGTGAAGGAGGGGGCTTAACATACCAGATCCAAGGTCCATGCCAAACATCCCCAAGTTGTGATGTATACATAAAGAAGCAACCACACAATAACAGCAACAAAGTCAACAAAATAGAGTGGAAGGATTGGGAGAGCTTGAAGGCAACTGAGCAAGGATAGCCAGGACACTGGCTTTTATTAGCAGCAGATGGATCGGGGGAAGAGCTCTTTCCTCTGGTCTGCCTGCTACAGCCAATCGGGGTGCAGGGAGGAACTTTCAGCACTGGCCAAAGACATGCCAAGAGAACAGAATGCCCTAGGAGGAGGGAGCCCTGCAGAAGATGGCAGGCAGAGGGAGTATCCGCCTCCACAACTTCCCTGCCTGATAAATTGGGTAGGATATTAATTTTGTTAACAACAAGAAAAGTATAAACAAACAAGTATACCATGTGGTCTTCAATGGTCTCCAAACAAGCAGAAATGCTACTGCACAATTGCTCATGTAGGCTTAAAGTGGCCAGTGGCTCATAGTCAAGATAGATATATATCCTCCCAATACCAGATAATGTTTTTGTGCATCACTGTATGCTGTATAATCATAGCTAACATGCACAAACAAGAGGGTTTTATGCCCTTTGTGCCCTGTTAGTGGGCTTCTACCAGACATCATGTAGGCCAGTGAGGGGAAAGAATATGAAGCCATATAGGCCTTTGGTGTGATCCATCATGACTATTTGTCTATTCTTTTAGTAATCTGGTATCTTTTTATATAAAATATGTGCCCAAGTTGCCAATTCTTTGGGTTTTAAGAATTCTTTCTTTCTCCCAGAGGAGCTGCTTCATTCCCATATCACTCATTGGTGGTCACCTGATGGAGAGAGGCTGGCATTTCTTATGATAAATGATTCCTTAGTACCAAACATGGTTATTCCCCGTTTTACTGGATTTCTTTATCCCAGAGGAAAACAGTATCCATATCCAAAGGTAAGAAAACTTTGCATGTAAAAGTCATAACTAACTTACAGTCTAATATTCAATACTACTGATGTACTGATTCAATGACTTAAACAGAACAAAACAATTGCATCTTTTTAGAAAGTCTAAGTTACTATATTTGTACAAATATATTCAACTAAATAACAAAACAGTTTGTTTGTTTGAACACAAACTTATTTTTATCAGCTCCAGATCACATTACCTTGGTATGATTATTCTGTGTTATAACAGTTCTAAAATATTTTAGACCCATGTAGGGATTTAGACATTCAAAATAAACACAGAAAAATGAGAGAATGTCTCTACCTTAGCTGAACAATAAAGACACACTGTGGCTTCTCAAAATGATCTGTATAGTCCACCTTGATTGAGAAATCATTTCTAGATGTCCAAATGAAAACCAGGGACTTAATGAATGGTGACCTGGATTAAACTGGTTTAGCCCAGTGCTAAGCAAAATTGGAGAATACTCAGGAGTTTGGGTAAATCTCCAGAACAGCCCTGCACTGTGGATACAGTGTTAACAGAATGTGGATTGATCTGCTCTCCACACAAGCCGCCACCACCACCCCATTTTCCACTTAGAGTAATGGAGTAGGCCCAGGTCACCTTCACCCCTTGAGATGGTTGCAGAGTTCTGTGAGATCTTATGGATGTCATGGGCACCCTAACATCTCCCACAAAAGTCTATGATTTGAAGCTTTCAGGGTCCTGTTTTTATACTTTGAAAGCCTTTGAATATGTTTTAATATACATCAATTCTTCAGAAAAAGATAAAAAGCTAACCTGTCAAAGAAATTCTTCTTCCAAATAACTTACTTCAGTATTTTTGCACTTTAGATAAATGTGTTCTTAATATTCAAGTCTTTGGGAAGAAAAATGAAATCTGCCAAGTTAACAGGAAAATGTGTTGTTCTGTAAATAATACCAGACAGTTTTGTATGGAAAAGCTTCAGGTAGATTATGCTCGGTTGTTTTGTCAAGACACATCAAGCCAAGTTACATGGTGGAACATTGCTACCCAGAATGATCATTTTTGGACTAGTAGTGGTCCTTGAGACAGTGACTGCCAGTTTCTGGCAAGTTCCCAAAAAAAACCAGAAATGGGCATAAATATAATGTCGATCCCTGGCACTCTGGTAAAAATAATTAGCAGTCATATGATCTCAGGTAGCCTGAGAAGCTCTGATTTATGTGTTGTGTGTTTAATAGTTTGGTTCCTTGCATGGGTTCTTCCTTATCTTTATAGATGCACATTCAGCTTTTTCATTCTATTTTTTCCCTTAAGGCAGGAGAAAAGAATCCAACAGTAAAGCTATATGTAGTCAATCTATATGGACCAACACATACATTAGAACTCATGCCAACAGACAGTTTTAAATCAAGGTAAGCATTTTGGAACTTGATATTTAATTCAGTGTAACTTTATCTGAAAATGGATAACCTAGCTGGTGTATATCTTTATTTAATGAAACACTATAAAAATTCATATTGCTTTGTGTAATTTTTTAAAAATTTCTGACAGAAATGGCATATGAATATAAGTGGCCGCAAGGAGGAAGGAGCTTTGTCCATCTCAACTTAAACAGGTCACATCTTTATATTGCAGTAGTCTATGGCATCAATGAAGCATATTGTCGAAGGCTTTCATGTCCGGAATCACTGGGTTGTTGTAGGTTTTTTCGGGCTATATGGCCATGTTCTAGAGGCATTCTCTCCTGACGTTTCGCCTGCATCTATGGCAAGCACCCTCAGAGATAGTGAGGTCTGTTGGAACTAGAAAAAAAGGTTTATATATCTGTGGAATGCCAGGGTGGAACAAAGAACTCTTGTCTGTTGGAGCTAGGTGTGAATGTTTCAACTGACCACCTTGATTAGCATTTGATGGCCTGGCAGTGTCTGGGGCAATCTTTTGTTGACAGGTGATTAGATGTACCTGATTGTTTCCTCTCTGTTGTTTTGCTGTTGTAATTTTAGAGTTTTTTTTAATACTGATAGCCAGATTTTGTTCATTTTCATATTTTCTCCTTTCTATTGAAATTGTCCACATGCTTGTGGATATCCATGGCTTCTCTGTGTAGTCTGACATGGTGGTTGTTAGAGTGGTCCAGCATGTTGATGCAGCTGTTCCAGAAGTGGCAGGAGTTCTTAGAGAACCTTGTAGTGGGCCTATCAGTGGATATCTTATCATTGGCCCATTATAAGCACCATACTCAGAGGCAGGAACACTTGGAATCGGTTGCTCTCCATAACAATGCTGCAGGTATCCCGAATAACCAGGCTGTGGTTGCCCATAAAGTACCCTGTGTAAGCCTGCGAGTTTACACTAATTGTGTCTACATCCCTTAGTCTTCACCCCAAGCCAGCTCCCTTCCCCAGCTGCTTTCCCTCGAAATTACAATGCAATTATTTCCAAACATTAATTTGCCCTTGGTAATCTATGTGTTATTACCAATGTCAAGAACCCTCTGCGTTAAAGCTATCTTTACTCGCTTGACAATCGTATTAATTATTTACTATATGTATTTGATCACAAAAATGACAATGGCCAGTAGTCTTCATTAGCTAAATATATAAGCCCTCCATATCAAGGATTCTGTATTCATAGATTCAGCCATTTAGATCTTGAAAACATTCTAAAAAATTTTTGTTTTTGTTTTTGCCATTTCATGTAAAGCAAGCCATTTTATTACACCATTATAAATAACAGAGATTGAGCATCCATAGAGGGGACCTGGAGCCAAATGACAGTGGATATCAAGGGCCCTCTGTGCTTAGGTATAAAGTGAGATCAGAAAGAGAAAGGAAAGCTCTAACTCAGGTTCTTCCCAACAATGGAAAGCTGTATGTATAGCTCTGAACTAATCAAAATTATGCACCCACAGATTTTATCTTCAAATTCCTGCTACTTGTGTTAGCACTGTATTCCCACTAACTCAACAGACCTGGTGTTATTTCTGACTGGAGATCTTTTCTCCTCATTTCAACCCAGTATGTATACACAGGAAATACTGTCTCTTTGGAAAAAATGCTGAATCTGAAAGTAGGCAACAATCTCATTTTTAATCTGTGATCTATGCAGTCTTACTTAAAATTTCATTTATTCTCTTTGAGTCACACACGATTTAAAATTCCATTCTCTGCTCACATCACAAAAGCCTAAAGAAATGTGTGGATTTGAAGGAAAATAAATTTTAATTTTAACTTAACCTGTGAAAGCATAATGTCCTGGTTACAGAAAATTGAAGCTTTACAATATTATAAACCAAAATATTTTTAAATCCATGTAGTTGTTTCTGTTCTCTGTCACTATTCTCTCTCACATGCAGAAACACACTCAGGGCCCTTCCATACAGTCCTATATCCCAGAATATCAAGGCAAAAAAATCGTACATTATCTGAGTGTGGACTCAGATAACTCAGTTCAAAGCAGAAATTGTGGGATTTTCTGCCATGATATTCTGAGATATAAGGATGTGTGGAAGGGCCCTCAGAGAGGGGGAGGAAGACAGGGAAAAGTAGTCTTCAGTGCTTGAAAAAAAATACTTTGCAGGAACTGATGTTATTTCTGATACTCTTCCTACTTTGTGCTAACGTTTGCAGCTCTACAATTTTTATTTTACCATATTTTTATCCCACCCTTCTCACCCTAGAGTGTCAAGACAAAGGAAGAGTACCAAGAAACCTGGCAGTAGCATTTTGACTCCAAACCAGCATGACATTTTAACTTCAAAGTATAGCAAGGTCTTACAAGATATGTATTTGATTTTTTAAAAAATGTCAGGAGCGACTTGAGAAACTGCAAGTTGCTTCTGGTGTGAGAGAATTGGCCGTCTGCAAGGACATTGCCCAGGAGACGCCCAGATGTTTTGATGTTTTTACCATCCTTGTGGGGGCTTCTCTCATGTCCCCACATGAGGAGCTGATAGAGGGAGCTCATCCATGCTCTCCCCAGATTCAAACCTGTGACCTGTCAGTCTTCAGTCCTGCCAGCAGAGGTGTTTAACCCATTGCATCACCAGGGTGCAACCATGATGACCAACCATGAAATAATAAGACCAGACATAGAAAGATGGGTTAAATAAGAGCCACTTTATTTGATTTCTTGCCCAATTAATTTGCAATTGCACTAGAAAGGAGGAATAAGAGAACAACCTTATGTGTCCAATAGTGGTACTACTTTTTAAAAACACCTTGAGCCTTCCCTTGGGTAAAATATCTAAAGCCCAAGATCTCTCCAACAATTGGATTGCTACCTCTCCAGCTATTTACTACTACAAGACTATAGTCAAGACCTTCCAAACTCAATTCTAAAATACAGTATCTTATCTGAAATAATAATCATGAGTTTGGTTCTAAACCACTTTTTTAAAACATTATGGGTTGTACCCACCTGAGTCATTCTAATGGTGCAGGACTTTTACTTCTTGCTCATTTTTTTCTTTTTATCACAACAAGTGTTTTTTGGTCTTGTTACCAGTGTTTCCTTTTATTAGTAGTTTTGTTTGCTCTTTCCTGGTAGAAGATACAGCCACAAGGGCAACAGTATATTGGCCTCTTCCATATTGTTGGGTATCATCCAATGAAGTTATAATGATGGCATTTCAGAATAATATTGTTGTAATAAAGCTGTAAGTCCTTCATCAAGGTTAATTTATGTATTATGAAATGTATCTGTGCTAACAGGGTGATAATGCAATCTTCTTTTGTGTGTTCAGCATAGTGTCTCTGTTGATTTTGCACTTATTATAGTAGCCAGTAACAGATTCTTACAATATTTTCGTGTATTAGCCAGAATTAAAAAAGAAAAGAGAATTGTGTGAAGGAAGAGGAGGAAGATAGCAGTACTGGAAAGTATTTCGCAGCACCACCCTATTCATACTGGCTCAGAACTAAACCTCTGTGTTCAGTGGGGTTTGCTACTCTAAAATAAGGATGGAAAGGATGGTTGTTTAAATGTCATCAGTTTGAACCATCTACTTGAAAACAGGAAGGAGGGAGGACAAAAATGTAATTTTGCACATAGATTGTCTTGTATTGGAGGTTAGTTTTCAGGTGTTTATTGTCAAGAAATCATGAACTAAACATCAGAATACATTAATAATGATATTATTTGTCAGAGCCATGCATGTCAGGGACTATTCATTTCAGTTTCATCTCATAGTCTTTGATATACATATGTAATATAGTGTGGTTACTCGGTTTTATAAAATAGTTATATAGATGAGGACCATTGTGGATCCTCATAATTTTTTTTCCAGGAGACATTTTCTCCACTTTTATTTTAGGTTTGTGTACACACATTCATGTTTGTGTGTTTATAAAACCAGAACCGAAATTCAGCCATTTCCTGCACAATAATTTAACTCTCCTATGTTTCATAGAGACCATTTGATTATCCAACATGATGGATCCTATAGGCTCTAGAGTAATGAAGGTTCTTTTGTTGGCCGGGGGGGGGGGGGGGAGTTGGTTGTGTGTGGGGGGAGGGGTAAATTGGGCACAGTGCAAGATGGCAGTGTAGCTGTTAAGTCTGGTAGAAAAACATGCATCCTCAAGACCTAACGAAGCTTCTACTTTACTACAATATAGTGCAGACCTGAAGCTAAGGAGTCTTTGAGTAGAACCATGTAATAAGGTTTGGGAGGTTTCAGAGATGCCACCCATGATTCTAGAATTGGATGGCTGTGTGTAATTATGATCACTGATAATTTGAATTATGATAGTAAAATGCTGTTTGTTATCAGCCATGGTAGCATCCTGAACTAAATTCACCAAACCTCCTATTCTTGACAGATTATAGGGGTGGTCAAAGAAACAACATCAGCGTGACAGTCAAATGAGACCTGGAAGAAGAGGGGTTGTTTGCACTATTGAGAAGGCCTTTCCACATAATTGTTTTATTTCGCTAAAAATGTTTACGCTCATTTTTTAAAAAAATACTTGCCCACAGAAGCAGCTAGGTCTGCAGATTTCTCTGCTCCACTTCCTAAATAAAATCTTTAGAGAACACCCTTGGCATATTATATTTTTGTTGTCAGTTTCCTTCCATTAAAAGAACTGTCATGTATACAGTTGTTTCAATGATGGTTTTCCTTAGTTGAATCAAATATAAGTTAATAAAACATCTTGAGCCTATTTTATGTTAATTTATTTAAATGTCTATGGAATACTTTTAACATTCTTGTTTGCCTGTTAGCAACATTTCTATTTGACTTCTTGATGGAACTTTTTAGAAAGTTCACAAAAAAGGTGGCAGACCCACAAAGCAGAAGAATGAAACTTAATCTAAATCTAAAATAAATTAAAACAGCCAGAGAAGTTAAATGCAAATGTGAAATGTGGTTTTGGAATTCTACATCTATCAATAGGCTGTTGAATGGGCCAGTGCAGAGGTCTGTTTCCTTGATGTGCTTGTGGTATAATTTCACAATTTATATGTGCATTTTATAACTGCTGTATTTTAAAATGTATCTCCACCACAGAGAATATTACATAATGATGGTGAAGTGGGTCAGTAATACGAAGACGGTGGTGCGGTGGTTAAACAGACCCCAGAACTTATCGATCCTTACAGTGTGTGAGACAACAACTGGTGCTTGTAGCATGGTAAGCAGTTTGTTGTTTTCCCTGGACAACTTCTTATCTACTGAGGTTTGGAACTTTACTCTGAGGGAAGTACATTTATTTTTGTTAAAATAGAGTTTCTGTTAAAATCCTTCATGACATAAACAATGTGATACTATGTACAATGTGAAAGACATTATTCTGAATATCTTTCTCTCTGTCTCTGCACACACACACACACACACACTCCTCTTTCTTTCATTGGGTCTTTAAAGATAAGCTTCTTGTGCATGCAGGGAAGTGTATTGAAAAAGTTCCATGAAATCTGTCCCTCTCATAATTAAATACTCCAAGAAAATACTTAGATTGAGGGACGTCCCATTTAACTCTAAGGCATTGCCTTCCAAGTACACATTGATTGTGCTGCAAAGGGTGTGCAGAGTTTTTTTTAAAAAAAGAAATTGTATTTAGGCTGACAAATGCATTCTCTTTTCTCTATGAAAGCTGCATTAAACACTTTATTATGACAATGTATAATTGCTCATATAACAAACAATATACTGTAAATACTAAAAAAAAACAATAGTCCCATACAATTAATACAATTGCTTACTATTTCATAGTATGTGCTGTGGTAGAAAAGCACTGTGAATAGGAGTGAGTCCTACAAATTGTAATAGATATACTAATATTGAATATTATTTCAGGGTAACACTGATGCAGTCTTTTGTGAGAACTTAATTATTTTATAAAATATAATACTATTGGATGATCAGTGCTCTGTGAAGTTTTTATTCTTGCTACCACTGCAGTGTAATGAACAGTAAAATGGAATGATTTTCACTGAGCAGAACCTTTCTATGAGTTTCATAATTATAATTATTTTTCTTTTATCCTTTTTTAGAAATATGAATTTACTTCTGAAGTGTGGCTTTCTAAACAGGTATGGTTGTGTTACTATATTGATAAATAAGATGTTAAAAAGTTATTTTTTTTAATTAAAGCTGTTTTTTAAAACTTGAATGAAGATTTTTTAAAAAATCATGGCAGTAACTGCAAATGACATGAAGAATCAGAAAAGCTGAACTAAAGGGGTGCATCAACATGGACACCTAAATTTGGGGATAGTCTGGAGCATTGCTGCTTCTCCTCCCCTCTTCAGATTATAAGGGCACCATTGCTGACATCAGCAAAAGTGAGCAGAAATGGCCGGGAGTTCTCTGAAGCTCAATGGCTGTTGATTCAATGATGAACAATAACCCAGATTGTGCCACCCCCTTTCCTTGTGCTGCGGAGTGCAAAGGAAATGGGATGGTATTTCCAGTTAGAACCAGTCCAGCTGTTTGCACCAACTCCGAAGTACTGTGATGCTCCAGAGTTTTGGGGAAGCTCTAGAGCAGTTCCTGGCTTCTTTTAACACAAGGTAAAATCAGATTAACCATTTTATTCCATGTTAGGGATTGGATGTCCTTGAACACCATCCAGTGTCCAGGAGCAAATTCTGACATGATTTGAGATATGTGGCCTGTGTTGACATTACCTAAGAGTATTGTGATGGTGCCTTAGAAAGGTATTCCAATACAAGTGCGTAGAATCAATGTTACATGTGTCAGCTGTTTGATACTAGTGACTTTTCATGAACTAGACAAAATTTCAAATGATTTGTTATGTGCACATTGAAGTGGAATAAAGCATCCAATGAATGACTTCATTATGAAAGTGTTAGCCAAGATAAGGCTCAGCACATTCTTATGAAATTGTTACAGATATGAGGGGTGGGCCACAGGTTAGGGTAGGGCAAACTGAGCTGTTACATCAGAACGTGGTGTAATAATTTAAATATTATTTCATTACATAGTACTGTGAAAAATACATTCATTAAAGCCTGTTGTCAAAAGAGTAAGATCATCATTGCTACTCCATTGCTTTCTTTGCAAAAATATACAAAAACAATGCCAAATCCTCCAGAATTAATTTCACTCACCAAAAGGTAACATTTAAACAAGAATTAATAAAAATGTTATTTGCTACATAGAAAAAATGGTGCCTTAAACTGCTTTTCAATACTCCCAAAAAACAAATTTTCAGGTTCTGGCTTGATCAAAGCACCCCATTCAAACAATTCATTTATTGGGCTTTTAGGTGCTAACCAAGAGGTTATTTTTTTCTTGTCTTAACAGTAGCCACTGCATTTTTGTTTGTTCCATTTTGTTTTGATTTGTACTAGCAACCAATTTTAACATGAAATGTTTGGATCTTAGAAAGGAATAAAAGTCATATCTATAGGCCAAGGAACAAGCAAACAAAGGAGCACAAAATATTATAAAAATGGAAACTTGGTTATGTAGTAATTTACTTGAACTCACATATTCCTGCATTTGGGATTCATCTACACTGGTCAGTTTGTGTCCATTCTAGAGCTGTTGTTCCCAGGGCTGGGGAGCTCATTCTCTCCTTTGGGGCAGTGTGCATCTCACCTCCACTGTGTTGCCACTGCTCCCATCTACAAAGCTTATGGGAACTCCTGGTTGTTGTAGGTGCCTCTGCTGATTTCAGAATGGTGCACCTACATGACCAGCATGGGCAGAATCAGGCCCAATATATCAGTACAGACTGTCCTAAATCTGCAAAATTCTCTGGAGTTTCCATCAAACTCTGGAATATCCCCTGATTTTACCCAAAGGAGAGCAAAGTCAACTTGAATGAAAAAAACTAGGAAACTAACTAGAAGTAGCTGTGTCATGAAGATAGCCAACCTTTTATTTGAGGTGAGTCCTTTTTCCCCCCTTGCTGTGTAGATGAGCCCATAATATCTACATACCAATTATTTCCACAAAACTCAATCAACTTTGAAGTAAATGATTGTTCCAATGCAATATTTCTAATATCACAAAAAGATTAAAGTTTTGAAGTGTCATGTAAATTTCCTACAAAAATTCTTAATCACAATTATATTTTCTTCCTTCGTTACAAATCTGCTAAGGATTGTTGCTCTTTGCAAAAGTCTTTATAGAAAGACTGTTTTGATAGAAAACTTAAGTTCTTGCATGATTTCTCTGCTTTCCTGGTTTGACTATTTTTATCATAAAATCTTGTTTCCCTTCAATAAGCTGTAAATTTGCATGCTTTATTCACACTAGTGACAGCTTATACAGAACAGAGCTTAACTGGAAAAAAATTAAAATGCTGATCCTGTTTAATTCTTATAGAACGAAGAGCCAGTTTTTTCTAAAGATAGCAACAAATTCTTTATGACAGTTCCTGTTAAGCAAGGGGGCCGTGGTGAATTCCACCATATTGCTATGTTTGATGTTCAGGTAAGTTTCTTCTAGCCGGGTTCATATTGTATTAGATTATGGACTGGATGATTCTTCCTTTTTTCAGGTTCTTTGAATAGTATTTGTCACACTTTTGAATAGGATTTACCACACTTTTCTTCCCTTTCCACACAGATTCTCTGGGTATGAGGTTGGCACAGCCACAAGGTTTTCCTTCCCTCTCATGGTAGCAATGCACTAGGGAAGCAATACTTAGTAGTTTGGGATTATCTCCATAGGAAAGCTTGGCTATAACCCCAACATGTAGTAGTCAAACAACAGTACCACCAAAGCCACTGGGTTGGCCCATAAGCTTCCCCAACCCAAATCAGATAAACATTTTTTTCTTGTACAGCCCAATAAATATCTATCACAAACTGTTTTAAGTCCACAATTCTTACTCTAATCCGAACAATGCATTTGCCAGTTGTTTCTTCATGCTTGTCATATACTACATGATTAATGCAAACCACTCCTGACAATCAAATGCAGGAATGGGGGAGGTATAGTTTTTGAGCTCCCTTAAGCTCCCAAACACAGTCGTTGTGTTTGTTTTAAAATATGTTTGATATCCTGAGATTTATGTCAGATTTATTATGTTTTTTTGTTTTCCCATAGAAAGGAATTTAAAAGGTCCAATGGGGGTTACCCATCCCATCTGTAATGTATGAACCAGGAGCTAATGTGGTACTGCTGCCTAACTTCCCAGCATAGTACAATATAACACACTGCTAGTCTCAGAAGTTGCTGTAGCTGTGCTGCATAAAGTTGTCCACTTGCATGACAAATATGAAAAATAATTAAGAAAATATTATGTTAGTTCCCTGAATTCCATAGGGACATGCTATTTTGAGGAAACGTCATTGGTTGTAAGCACTGTGGCTTGTTGCCAGACTGTCACTAAGGATTCTAGGAAATTAATAGTGAATCATTTCAGAGAGACAGAAGAATTGAGTGCATGTGTCAGTTCTGCAGCTTCCAGTAAGCCCCATGGGTATGCATAAAAATGAGTTTCTATTACATTAACACAAGAATGTATGCATGAAAGAATGTTACAGTTTGTGTCTTCCCCATGAATGCTTGGAAGGGCATTGTTCCAATTGCCTGTGAAGCGACCACAGAATAATGAAAAAGCAGACTTGGATTCAAAGATTGAAAGGGACTTTCATGTCAACAGTGAGAAAAAAATAAGGAAGTCTCAAGTTGTGGAGCAGTATATTTAGAACAGGTTACTGCTTATCTCTTCAGGAATGATGAGAAGCAGACCCAAAAGGAGTGCTGACTCTAAGTTGAAGTCCCCTTGTCCCCGTTTATTGTTGTTGTCTGCTTACAGGTTGTTTCTCATTTATGGCAACCCTAAAATGAAGTTGCCGTAGGGTTTTCTTGGCAATACTTATTCAGAGGAAGGTTGACTGCTTTCCTCTGAGACTGAGGGCAGTTCCACACAGCACATTAATGTAGATGGAATCAAGTTTTTAAAATGTGATTGGATTTGCATTGAAGTCCGCACACACCTTAGAAAACACGTGGGGTTTTTTGGAGGGATAGGGGGTCCACATGCCTTGCCAGCCATTCCAGTAGGGCATCCAGACCCCCCCCCCCCCGGAAAAGTCCTAAAAATAGTGAAGAACTTACCAGGCCGCCATTGGGTCTCAGAGCACAYTTCCTGGAACGAACCATTATACACAAGAAAGCGAAAGGGGGAGGAGCAGTTTGTCCTCTCTCCCCCCCCCCCAACTATCTTGAACGTAATGATACCTTCCAGAAAATGTGCTTCAAGGCCTAATGGTGGCCTGGTAAGTTCTTCACCATTTTAAGGGCTATTCTGGGGGTTTTTTGGGAAGGGGCTAGGGGCCATCTCACACCTTCTGCGATTCAGGAGCCCAGAAGGTGCTAGATGAGCGTATGGAAAAGCCCCAGGGAAGTTCCATACAGGCCCTTTTGTCCATCAAACCAAGGCCTTTCACAATAGGGCTATCTAATTAATTTGGGATAAAGCAGGGTTTTCCTGCTTTGTCTCAAATTAATCCTCTTTTACTAGAGGCTTCATTTGGCCACCCTCCGTTTTTAAGTGGCAGCTCCTGAGACAAAGGTACTGTCTGTACGGACCCTGAGGGAGTATGACTTGCCCAAGGTCACCCAGTAGGTTACCACTGCCAAACAAATATTTGAATCCTAGTCTCCCAGAATCATAGTCCAATGCCCAAATCACTAGTTGGTTTGAAAAAGAAAGGAACCTACATGGAGCAACTATGGGGCCCATTTTGGCTTACTGTCACTGAACAAATTTATTCTCAATTCTTTCTTTGTCTTGAAACAAAAGACTTTGCTTCCTTTCATCATCCAGAGAATGTTTGTGGGAGTTTTTTCTCATTCTTATGAATGCAGAATTGTCACTGGTAACACATTTTTGTGTTTCGTTGTAATTTAACTTACTCTCCTTCCCTGGCTCCCAAACACAAATATGTGCAAATTGTTGATGAGAGTTCATGCATCTGGTGAAGCAAACTCCAGGCGTAAGTTGACTTTTGCCCAATACGGCAAACAGATTGCAGACGTGATCCCAACCTCATGGAGGTTTATCTATGTAAACAGTTTACCTTTATCTTAGCAGCCTCTATACATTATGTTCCTGCATGGAATTAAGCACAATATATTCATGGAACAATTATCTATGTTTTCCAAGTAGGGATGTAGGGATGTAATTCTTTACTTTCCATTTAGACATGTTGTAAAGCAGGATGAAAATACAGTAAACCAAACATGAAATACTGAAAAATTGTCTCTTCAGTGGGCAAAGGTATAAATATCTTGTCATGTTTTCGATTGCTTTATGCTGGCATGTTGCTAGAAAGTCAACTTGACCTATGACCTATGATGACTTTATGCTATAGTTTAGTCCTCAGCTTCTAGGGAAAGTTCAGGCTTTATTTGATCTAGGACCCATTAATTTGTCTTGTTAGCAGTTCATAGTATTTACATAACTCTTCTCTGGCACCAAATTATATTCTTCCTGACAACTTTCTTCACTGTCCATTTTTTTGTACTTTGGAAAAAAGTTTTGTTTATTCAAAATGGAAAAAAAATATGTTGTACAAGGACATGTCCTTTGGAGAAGGATTAAAATATTTCAAAGATTTTTTGAAACCACCAAAAGAAGCTGACAATACTTTTTTTTTTCAGTGGGAATACCTCATTCTCCTTATGGAGTAGAAAATATAAATATAAATAGTCCTAACATTCCTAGTCTTAAGTGCAGATATTTGTATATATGCCAGTTTTTTTTTCATTTTAGAGGCCATTAAATGATGACAGGTACAAGCAATCTTGGATGAAAGATAAATCATGGAGAGGAATCTGGTTAAACTATTTATTACCTTTCAGACCAAGAGTGAACAGTTTAGCATTCGCCATCTAACATCAGGAAACTGGGAAGTTGTCAAAATCTTGGCATATGATGAAAATACGCAAAAGATGTGAGCATTATTTTTCTTTGTCTTTTCAGGTAAAATATCTGTGTTATCAAGATGAAATTCATTTTACTGGAAATAGTATTGTTCACCATGCCTCTTTCATTTCCAGACACTAATATAAGTTATAACTATAAATACATAGAGAAATTTGATTCATTTCCGTTACTAATGTATTGCATGGTCCTTTATCAGATAAAGAATAAGGATGGACTGTTATGTCTTTTATCTGACATTTGCTGAAATAAAAGTAAATAAATAAAATATATAATAGTATAGCTACATTTGTGGTAGTTTTCCCTATAAATATTCTGAATGCATATTGATTTCAAATCTTCAAATATTACAATGTTAGATGTGGTTTTTTTATTTATTTATTTACTGTAATTGTATACCACCTTTCTCAGCCAATTGGTGACTCAAGGCAGTTACGTTGACTATTTATTTATTCTTTTGTGGTTTCAGTAAGTATTAATGAGAAGGGTCTTAATAGTTACAAATGAAAATCCAGGTTTCCCTCCCAAATATTGTCAAAAGAAAACAAAATCTCAACATTTTCTACAAGAATGGTGTTGCTGATATGATGTTTTTCAGAGTTGTTAAGACTGTATTGCTATGCTGATTAACAATGTGCACATTCAATTGAAATTGATAGGAGTTATTTCTGAGTAGTCATGTTTGCAGAATTGTTCTTTACTTTCTACCAACCATGGTTTCCATATAAAACATTAACCACAATTAGTTACAAGCATCAGGGTTAAGATCAATTAGGTGAAATGGAAATGTGTTCATACAACCAGACTCTTTACCCTCCCTCTTGTAGCTGCTAGTATACCTGGGAAGATCTTCTCCAGAAGATCTTCAATGGCAGGAAATATTCTTTGCCTCCCTATTGTTAAGTTAAAATTAGTGTATTGAAGCACTGTACTTCAGTTCATCCATGCTTATTATTTGCAGAAATATATGGGGCTGTGCACAAAATATTTTTTAAAAAGTTTTAAAATGGGGAAAATGTTATGAAAAGTCAAATTACCTTTCATTGCCTAATGTCCCATGAGAAAAAAGAAACAAAGAGAAAAATTGCAGGAAAGTTCAAAATTGCTTCTTTCCCTTTGAAAATTCCAAATGATTACAGTGAAAGGAAAAGAGGACAAAGCCACCAAACCGCTTTTTAGGTACAACTGGGCAAGGATTTGAAGTTAAACAGCAATATCTCATTCCCACTCTGTTTACTCTGAGGGCCCTTCCAGACGGGCCCCAAAATGATGGAACCCTGCTTTGTCCTGAAGTAATTAGGTACCCCATTAGACCCAAGCCTTCCTGAAAGGCCCATGTCTAATGAAGTAGTGGACTTGTGGGGATTGACTCCTGGATCATCCTGGGGGTCAGTCCCCACAGCTCTCTTAGTTCTTCAGACCACATGAGCTCAGAGAACTGAGAAAGCACCCAACACCTTCCCCAACCTACCCACAAAAAGCCCTTAAAAGAAATAAAAACTTATAATTGCTCCTCCTCCTACCCTGACTCCTGCCCCATCATTTCTTCATTCCCAGAGGCCTGCTGGAAGAGCATTGTGACAGCCTGGTAAGTTTTTACTTCTTTTAAGGGCTTTTTTTGGTGGCAAGGGGAGTTCAGGTGGCCCCATGCCACTATGATAGTTACCGCAATGGCATGAGGATACCCTACCAGGAAAGCCCATTTTTTGGGCAGGCGTGGTGACTTAATTCCACACTGAAGAGAGTTTCTTAAACCTGCTTCAGCACAGGTTTAAGCCCTGTCTGGAAGCGCCCTGAGCCACAATAAAGAAGAACTCAAGCTGAACTTCTTTTGAAAACAAAACAATAGGCTTTTGCCATAGTTAGTTAGCTGGATAACCGATTACAGGATAAGTTTAACTGAGCATATTTAATGACCTCTATAAATTAAGAGGTCCAGCCAGATGTGTGCAATGAATAGCAAAGGTTCTGAATCACCACTCAGTCACCGAGGGCGTATTCTAGTCAACAGTGGTGACTAGGCAACATGTTAATGATGGCAAATTGTTATTCTCTGTAGAAATTAATTAGATGTTTGGATTTGCAAAGCCTCATTGGATCTGAAAATTGTTGTACTATATAAAATGATCAGGTAAGTCTCATGATATTCTATTGCACAACTCAAGTATGGTATTATGGTGTTTTGAAATATCTATATATTCAGGAGTTGCATTTGTTTGTATACTACATTTTTTAATATTCTTGGGAAACTTGTGAAAATTTTGGAAAGGCTCACTTTTCTTAAAACAGCATTGCATTTTTTTAAAAAAACACCTTGCATTATGTTTATTGCATGAGCATATGAGAAGCAAAAAATTATACAGCCTGATGCCAAAAATAAATTTCTTGGCGTCTTAGTTTTTAGGCCTGTTCCTGGGATTATTTGGGGCTGTGATTCAGAAAATTGCATTGGATAGACCACATCAGCTCCAGTTTTTAAATAGGGTTATCATAATTTTCTAAGGGCGGGCAGATGGCATCTATTAGATGCCATATGTTATATGACTCAAAAACTAGAACTGATAGAGGAAATCTGGTGCCATAGACCCAGAAACAGGGCTAACACTTGAGGCACCAAAATGTGTGTGTCAGTGTTACTTTGCAAGTTAAATGGTAAAACAGAACTAGTTCACTGTGCAGCTATTTTGTAGCGCACCTTAAATTCGACTTGGTTGTAGTGTTTGGATTCTAGGGAGTGGTAATTTATGACATTTCTCCCCTTCTTCACTCCTAGACTTTAAATAAAAAGCCTAGGAATGGCCAAACCTTGCAGCTGCCACTTTTACAACTTGTTCTGGTTTTAGTTCATGTTAACTAGCCATGTCCAAAAGCCACCTGCCAAGTGATATGGCTGGTGAGCAATTTTAGTTACAGGCAAGATTTCTTTAATGCAATTTGAGTTTGCTATTGATGTAAAGAAGTCTGTGTGCCTTCCTCACTGCAATATTTCACCGAAACCCAGAACAACATTACAGTGATTCAGTACCAGTAATTCTGGGACTCCCTCCCCTTCCATCTCTTGCTTCAGCCCCTTGTAGAGCCAAAAAAGGATGTTCCTGTGGATTTTCCAGTTCTCTTTAACATGTTTTGGGATACACAAGAGCTGCAAGGGGGAAACAGCAATTGTAATGGTAGCATGGGATTTGGCAGGCATGCCACACTGTATTCTGGCCTTCTTGATTGGCTTTATATTGTGCTTTCTTGTTGTATATTGTTTTTTCTTCTGAAGCTCCTGGATCCATAATTTTGTCATTATGCAGAGAGTAATCTGAGTAATCCCAATAAGGGATTTGGGAGTGGCTTTATAAGGACATAGACCAGTTTAGGGGGTGATATATCTGCCACTCATCTAGGTCACAATCATGGCTCATAATATCATGGATTTGTGCAGTCCTCCCCAAATTTGGGTTGCTATTGCTCTGATCTGTGTTCTTGTACTCTGTGATATATAAGCAATTAAATGTGGTCACTATTAATTCTTATGTTAGCAGTTCTCTCTCCTATGGCCTGTCTCTAAATCAGGTCAAGGCTGCAAACTTTCTCGCTAGTTCTGCATGAAGTCAAGATTGTAGAGATGAAAGTGACAATGGAGTAAAAAAAAACTGTCAGTTTTATTACTTTTTGTCTTTTGTGCATAAATTGAAGATTTACTATATGCTATCATGCATTAGAATCTATGCATTCAGTTACTATTGATATTTCTCAGTGGTGCATAACAAATCATAGATAGCTTTAGATATTGTATTCATCAGGTAGATTGGAGTATTCACATTAGAAATGAAACATAGCAGATGATGAAGATGTTACTAGTTGGAACGCACACTTTTTAGGAAGCAGCTAAGATTGTAATAGTTTGACTGTGGTCAAAGCTGTGGTCAGAAATGTTTCTCACAGGCAGGGAAACAGCATTGTAAAATCTCCCATCATTTCAAATGATGCTAATGTGTATTTTATAGTATTTCAATATTAGAACAGCTTGATTGTACAAATTTGTATATCAATGTGACAGAATATTAAAAGCACTGAATCCATTTTCTGTTTCTTTGACAGTTATTTTTTAAGTACTGAGAATTCACCTAGAGGAAGACAGTTGCACAGGTGAGATGATCAGTAGTAGTATGTTTTCAAACTAATCGACAGAAATTTACCTTTTTGTTTACCCCACCCACCACCACCCACCACCACCCAAACTCAAAAGGGAATATTGCATTCCTATTCAGGCATCACCGGCAACATGCCTCTCCTCAAAGTTTTTTCTGTTTAGTCACCTGTAACAGAATCTTCATAATGCTGAGAAGTGCACATATTTTAAGTGCCATAAGAGTATCTCAGCTTGTAGGAAGAGACTGCCTCTCCCATATTCCAGACGCATCTCAAAACATTGGTCTTAGGTGAAGGGAAATCCAACAAAGGGATAAGTCATCTGTTGATGAATGGCAGAGATTAATATCACCCTGTCATAATGTATTTTTGGCATATATTTTGCTTAGTGTTCAACTATGCTTGATCAATACATGTTTTTGCCGCTTCAGTGTGTCAACGGTTGATTTATTGAATCGTCAGTGCCTTTCATGCAATTTCTTGAAAGATCAGTGCTCATATTTCAATGCAAAATTCAGCCCTACAATCAAGTATTTCATTCTTCAGTGCAAAGGTAAGCCAGCCTGTTCAATAGGATTTTTGAAATGTTTGAGATTATTTTGGATAGCAAAACTTGAATTTGATCAGGCTTCCATCCTAACATAAATGGTATAATAGGAAATGGTTTTTATATATGTTTTTATATTGTTATGTTGACTGTTTTTAATCACACTTTTATGAATGCATGGCATCAAATCATGCCAATCTGTAACCTGCCTTGAGTCGCCATATGGTTGAGAAAGGCGGGCTATAAATAGTGTAAATAAATAAATAATAAATAAATGTTTGCTAGCCTGACTGTAGAAAATGCTGTAAAATTATAAACAGAACATTAAAAAGGAAGATACACACTCATTCACACACACACACACCAGATATAGCACTACAACCTCAGCAGGCTGAAAACCAAAAGCAAGGTCACAATAATGTAGTCTGTGACTTAGACTTACAAGTTCCTTTAAACACCTTTGCAGAAACATATTGGAAGCTTGGCCTCTCACTGAACATTGAGAAAACCTAAGTGTCCTTTCAGCAGGCACGAGCCAATCCCTCTGCAATGCTAGAAATACAGCTTAATGGTGTAACATTAGAAAATGTTGACCCTTTTTGCTACCTTGGCAGCCACCTCTCCACAAAAATTGACATCAGTGCTGAACTACATCTGAGCTTTGCAACTGCAGTGTTTTTTTAATGAAGCAAAGAGTGTTTGATGATTGGGACATTAATAGGGAAACCAAGATACTTGTTTATAAAGCTATTGTCTTTCCAACTGTATTGTCTGCCTGCGAAACATCGACAATCTTGACTGATAGAAAGATTCCATCAGTGTTGTCTTTAAAAAATCCTGCAAATCTTTTGGTAAGACAGACGGAAAGATGTCAACGTGCTAGAAGAAACAAATACCACCAGCATTGAAGCAGTGATCCTCCACCATCAACCACTGGACAGCCCACATTGTCCAAATGCCCCATCACTGTCTCCCTAAGCAGTTACTTTACTCTCCGCTGAAGAACGGAAAATGTAATGTTAGTTGACAGCAATAAATAAATAAATAAATAAATAAATAAAGATGTTCTTAAAGCTCGCCTTTTAAAATGTGGCTGAATACTGAGAACTGGGAATCTCTGGCACTTGAGCTGGAGTGTCAGCTGTTGGTAATGGTGCCATGGATTTTGAGGAGACATGAATAGAGAGTGAAAGGGAGAAGTGTTCTGAGAGGAAGGTGCATCAAGGAAACCCTTGTCACAACCACTTCCGCCTGGAAACCTATGTCATTGTGAAAGACCATGCAGGTCCAGAACAGATCTCTAGACATTGGAAAGAGAAGCACCACCTTTACCCACAAGATGTCATTACTTAGAAATCAGGGAATATTTTGTCTGTGTTTCAATGCAGAACTGGTCCTTGAAACTGATTTCTCTTGGGATTTTTTCCAGTTCTCTAGTGGTCTTCAAGTGACTTTGAAAAGTGCTGAATACCTACCTTTCTCTTTTTGATTTAATACTAGCTGCATGTGCTCGATATATATATGGACTATGTGTCAATTTCTCAACTGTAAAATTGAGATACAAATAATACTTCAGACTTGCATTATTCCCCTTGAGACTACCCTAGTAATGCCTTTGCATTAATCGAACTACTCATGGGCTTAGTCCTAAACTCCTGCATTAATTGTTTTGTGTATTGAGTGCCAAACTATTAAAGCATATCCAGATGAGGTTTGTATTCGACTGAAATACTGAGGTGCATATATTTAATCAAATACTTTCACAGTAACTATTTTATTTGTTTTTACAGGACCTGGCGTTCCAGTTGTCAGTGTGCACAGTACAAGTAATCCTGAAAGTAGGTGTACATTAGTTGATTATGTATTTTATTGCATTTTCTTTCCTTAAAAAGAAGAAGAAAAACCTTCAGGGAATTAATTTCTAAAAGCCCATCTCAATTACATCACAACAATAAACAGTCCAGTAAGTGATAAGAATAGAGGAAAGTTCATCAAATGACTATGACATTCCAAGGATTTCTCAGGCTGACTTTATACTAGATGTACATCTTTTATCTTCTGTTAATACGTAACATTAATTAGGTGGCACAGTGGCATGATCTCTTTCACTAACTATGCAAATTGAGTTCCTGTTACCACACCTCTAATGTGTGCCTTGAAACTCTTTAGAGCTGTAATCCAATTAGTTTGGATTAAGATGCTAGCTTCCAAGTGCTACTTGTCTAATTCAGCCTAAATTAATAAACCAGAGTCTACTTTTATTTAAAACCCTGCAATCTAGTACTACTACCTACCTATCTATATACATGGAGAGAGGAAGACAGCAACAGTGTGAGAGCTTGTGATATCATTAAGCAACATCCTTCTGTAATTTGTATAAAAATACAAAGTGTAACACAAATTACTTTCCTTAAATATTGTATTAATGCCAGTGTTTATATTTTTATTTCATCAGCTCTTACTTTTATTGTTGAAATTCAATTAAAACATTATTGGACAATTTATGTTTTTGGACTACAAGCACCCAAGTACCACCATTCAGTCATTAAAACCAAGGTGTCTGGGGGCTTGGGAGTTGTAGTCCAAAACATGCAAAACAGCAGAATCCTATATTTGTCTAGTCTGAAGTAAATCTCACCAAGGTCATTCAACCTAAATATATAATTTAGGCTTCAGTTTATTATTTGGAAAGGAAATTTCTATCCAGCCAGTCAACATGTGCATCTTTGGGATAACATAACTGTGCTTTAAGTGAAGAAACACCAATATTCAATTGGTCCCTTCTGCAGGTGGTTTTGTTATTTTCTTTAAACTACAGTATCCTTGCCAATGGTAATTGGACCAGCAAGTAGTCAATTCAGTGGTTTGAGACTTGTAGAAATAAAAAAGACCTTCTCTGATCCCTTTTAAAATTCTCCTCTGTAAAGATTCAAGGAAAAGATTAAATTGTAAGAACATTTTGGAAAGAAAATTAGTCAATGTCTAGAGGTTGCTATTTGCAATTTGTGATAAAACCAATGATGTATCTAATGCCTTCCTACAAAACCAGATAATCTCTTCTATTAATAAAGCAGAAAACACATGATTGACATTTGCTTCAATTATTGTGTCTGAAACAATTAATATAACATTTTGACTGACTGCCCGGAAATTACTTTCTCGGAAGATTATCCCTTGTTGTCCTAAATGAGTATTTGTTTTTCTTGTTGTTGTTTTTTTATTAAAAAACTGAATAAATTAAGGAAGATTGCAAGAAAACCAATCAAATATTTATCCAGATAGAGCTGGATTAAAAAAATACAACAACAAACACAGGGTTTTTTAAGGATTTGCTGCTTTCTGATTGAAACAATTTTTAACAAAGAGGACTGATGTGTAAATGGCAAGATTTTGTGCAACAAGATGTGATTTTGTGTTGAGATAATACCTTATGTTATATCAAAAAAGAGATGGAGTGATGGTGTTGTAAAGCACTTCTAGGAAATCCCAGAGGTTCTGCATGATACATACACATCATGTAAACTCCAAATCCTGGGATTTACTGTCATTGTGCTGAGTGTATTGCTTAGTTTTTCGCTTCTCCTAAATTTAATTATTATATAAATTCACTATTTATTACAACATGGAGGACAACGTAGTTTATTTATTAAAAACCTTGCACATTACACAGAAAATTAATAATCTAGTGACTGAACCCAAAGGGTCCTCACCAATGGTTAATCTACTTTCTGGAAAGAAGGGACTAGTGGGGTCCTGCATGGTTGGTATTGGGGCCAATGCTGTTCAACATCTTTATTAATTATTTAGATTATCATTTAGAAAGCATGCTAGTTTGCGAATGACACCAAATTGGGAGCAATAGCTAATTCTCCAGAAGACATGATCAGAGTTCAAAAGGACCTTAACAGATCAGAGAGCTGGGCCAAAGCTAAGCAAATGTATTTCAAAAAGAAGTGGATGATACTTCACTTAGGTGGAAAAAATTAAACATAGGGCCCTTCCACTCAGTCCCTATATCCCAGGATCTTATCCAGGAGTTCTGCTTTAAACTGTATTATAAGAGTTTGTACTACCAGATAACCAGGAATAAACAGAAAACCTGAGATCAGATCCTGGGATATGGAGCGTATCTCGAAGGGCCCACAGATAAAGGATGGGTGCTGTCTGGCTTGATAACAGTACATGTGAAAAAGATCTTGGAAACTTTTACAGCCAGTAAAAAATATAGGTAGGATTTTCATATTTCAAATTAAGCTAAATATATCATAATTGTTAATATGTCGTCATTGTTCATTATTTTTAGCTAAATATATATTTATTTATGTAATTGTCTTTTCAAAAATAATATTTTGGTTTGCCTTTGTTATCTTACATCTTATTATATATTTTAAATGCACACTGTTTTTCATTTAGTCATTTCTATTTTTGTTGTTACAGAATTTTATATATTAGAAAATAATTCCATATTAAAAGAAGCAGTTTTAAAGAAAATGAAATTTCGGACTGAAACCAAAATGCTCCACATTGATGACTATGGTAAATATATCTAGAAGTTAATGAAAAAATGCTCTTTTTGAAATCATGATTGTTTTCATCGTTGAAACTACCAGCCTTTAATGTTTTGCTCTTTTCTTAAAAGAACTTCCTTTACAGTTGTCATTTCCAAAGGAGTTTACAGAACGGAATGCATATCCCCTCCTCTTAATAATGTAAGTATACATCTGGTATTATTACAATTGTCAAAGTTGATTCCTGAAAATGTTTTTTTTTACATGTTACTTTACCACCAGAATAGTCATTTTAATTCATATAAAATGGCAATTTCAATTTGTGGTTCACTAACCTTGGTAAAGCATTTCTTCTATTTCGTAGAAACCATTTTCCTCCCAAAATATGAAAAGAAAAAACATTTTCTCCAGGAGTAAGATCTCAAAATAGACAAAATCTATAATGTTTCTTCTGATTTAATGTATGTTGGATCAGCTTGCTTTCAAATACACTCCTCCATTTATTTTTTTCTGGATTTTCTGTAATATTTGTTCATTGCAGAGTCTGCACAATTTCCTTATTCTTGGAAACATTGCTTTGTTTTATTTCCTTGCTTCTCTCTCCCCCCCCCCCCCCCAATTCCTTGAACAGTTCTAGAAAAGGTATGGGGAAAATGTGTGATTTGTTCCCAGGTCAAAAGGCGGGTTTCCCAAGAAGCCTTCTTTTTTAAAATGTAGATCAGCAAGAATCACACACATTTTTTCCGCATTTTCCAATGTCCCAAAATGTTGCTAATGAATTAATGGGTGTTTAAAAATGCCAGGTTTCCACAGACTTTTTTCTGCATAGAAAAAAGTGAAATAAATTATGCGTTTGCGTAGAACATACTCTTTACTGTGCAGAAAATGTTCCTATATGCAGAAAGTTGTATTTTTGCATTAAAAATCAATGTGTTTTTCTCTGAGAACATGACCTTCAAAAACTTAGGAATTTTGAATATATAGAGAGAACATTGTAGATGAAAATAAAAGAAATCCTGTAGTGTGGAGAAAACAGCTATGAATATTCACCCTCATAAGGAAGGAGACACTAATTGAGGAATTGTTTCCCAAAGAATAAAAGACCATATTTAGTTCAGAGAAGATCAGAAGGCCCACTGGCTGAACAGACTAACCACCCTAGCTTCAGCTAATACTATTATTAATTGTGTTTTTATTTTATCTTTCTGTTTCCTGATCATAAACCATTAGTCTTATCACTACTCATACATGGAATAAGATAATTACAAAAAAATCCTCTATATCTTGTAGTTCATGTTGATATTACATATTGAATAACATGATGTGATGGTGCAATTTTTGTCCTTTATGGTATCTTATAAAATATACAGAATACAATTAAGGGGGCTGTGAAAAAAATCAAAATGATGTTATGAAACTTGAAGTGACTGGTGATTGGAAAATGGCTTCTACTTTATACAATGAATTATTAAACTCTATGTAATACCTGATTAATTGCATTATATTGCATTTCAAGTGTGATTTTTACTGGTAATTCATGGAAAGAGACATAACAATTTTCAGCAAATGAGGAAGGTAAAGATTTTTACCTCTGATAGTTCAACTATTGAATGCAATTAAAAGGTGCAAGTATATATGAAATATAAGTATACTAAATATAACAGAGGAACAGAAGTATCTTAATTCCAAAGAGTAGGGGGTCCTACTCAGCCTCATAGGAACCAGCATATTGAGATAGAGGCAGGAGGATGGGCCAAAACCAAAAGGCACAAAGGCCTGATATCATCTGTGTTCGACCCACTCACTCTGTGTTTCAGTACTGTGTGCCCTATGGCTTCCTATGCTCTGGTGGCCAGGAGAATTCAAATTCCACAAGTTCAGCATACTTGATTCTTGTTTTAAAAAAAACCATACAAATATGAGAAATAATGTGCCATTATAAATTATAAAACTAGATTATATAACAGAACATCTCAATTGTTTAGATCTTCAATTTCCCTGTGTCAGATTCTGCAATGGAATGGGATTCTTTTCCTAGTAAAAGGGGTGGGGATTGTTTCCAAATTCCCCTTTCACCTCACAACTGCCATTGATGCAAAACTCTGTTTTGGATTGTTGCTGGATCCTTTGGAGCATGGGCCACTTGTATGGGCCCTTCCACACAGCCATATAACCCAGAATATCAAGGCAGATAATCCACAATATCTGCTTTAAACTGGATTATCTGAGTCTACACTACCATATAATCCAGTTCAATGTGGATTTTATACAGCTGTGTGGAAGGGGCCTTAGATGCACTTAATAGAATTTCCTGCACTTATCAGGGGTTTGGACTTTATGGCCCCTGGGCCACCTTCTAACACTGATTCTCTGAAAAGAGAAACTGAATTTTTGAAATAAAAATCACCTCATCTTCCCCTTCACAGCTGGAAAATTACATGAAAAATAAATGAAAGAAAAGGTATGTTGAAACAATCCATAACTGATCGGCAATAAGAAAGTATTCTGAGTTCCGGAGTATATTTTTTAAAAAATTCTTAAATGGAATTTTCTAAATTATGTTTTTACAATTGGGAAGCTGCACAAAGAAGGAGACCTTCCAATCATGGATGGGAAAGCATGCATGTTCAAAGTATGCATGTTCCCAAAATGATTGATGGAATAAATAAGTTCTTTAGCCTTTTAATTTTTTAAAAAATACTGGAACTTCCATTTAAAGAGGTAATTGCTGAAGAAAGTGCTGACCAGTGCTTTCTGAACTAGTATTATGGAAGGTCCTTTCTTGTCCAATTTTACTCAGGTTTTCTTAAGAATTGTTTCTTTACGTAACCATCCCATTTTCACTGAAAGTCATTTTTCTGTAATAAGTGGAATACTTGCAGTTTACTGGAGTCTACTGTGGACAAGAAACCTTTGTCTACTCTTTTTATTCAAAATGACCCCTCAGTCATAGCCAGTGTAAACCATTTTGCAGAACAATGATGTTGCTACTGGAGTTTATAGATGTGGACACATGCATAAATAGATGGTTCAGATTCAGGCTATTTGGCTGACTGCATCCCCTTATACAAGCCTGCCCAGGCCCTGAGATGTTCAGGAGAGACCGTTCTCTCAGTTCTACCTCCATCTCAAGCTCAATTGATGGGAATGAGTGAGAGGACATTCTCAGTGGCTGCCCCTCGACTCTCGATCTCCCTGCTTAGGGAATAATAATAATAATAATAATAATAATAATAATAATAATAATTTGGGTTTGGGTAGGCCTGCCAGAAAAGATGTGTCTTTAGATGATTTTAAAATTCCGACAGCTGATCTAGATGTTGCAGCTCTACCACCAGGTCATTCCACAGCCTTAGGGTGGCCAATGGATGGTGGTCACCAGTCAGGTTCTGGGAGGCTGACGCTGAGGCCCCCAGAGGACCTAAGTGTTTGGAGTAAATTGTACAGGAGAAGGCAATCCTTTAGATAACCTAGACCCAAATCATTTAGGGTTTTAAAGGTCAAAACCAACACATGTTACTTTGTCCAGGAACTAATTGGCAGCCATTGGAGTGACACTAGGATAGGTGTAATGTGCTCATCATAGATGTAACCAATCTGGATGCCGTATTTTGAACTAATTGGAGTTTCCGAACTTGGTACAAAGGTAGCCCAATGTAAAGTACATTGCAGAAATCCAGCCTTGAGGTTACCAGCACATGTACTAACATCTTTAGGTCTTCCAAATCTAGGAAGTGGTGTAGCTGAAGCTAGTAGTAAACACTCCTGACATTTGGAGGGACAGATCAAATAGCACTCCCAAGCTACAAACACAGTTTTGCAGGGGGAGTGTAACCCCATCCAGAACTGGTTTACATACCTCCATCCCCAGATTAGGACTTTTGATGGCAAGGACCTCTGTTCAGTTTCAGTTTGTTTTTCCTCATCCAACCCATTACCTCCTTCAGGCATTCATTCAGAGGAGACACACTATTCTTAGCTAAAGCTGTTTCTGAAGGCATGGAGAAATATATTTGGGTGTCCCCACCACATGCCTATGGATGATCCCGCCCAGGGCTTCATGTAAATATTAAAGAGCATTGGGGATAGAGTAGCACATTGTGGAATACCATATAGCAGCTCCTTTTTGGAGCAGCAGCTATCCCCAAGCACCACCATCTGTAACCTGCCTGAGATGTACAACCAGAACCACTTCATCACAGTGACTCTGATGCCCAACCGCCCAGCTGTTCCAGAAAGATGGAATCAAAAGCCGCTGAGAGGTCTAGAAGCACCAACAGGACACACTCCCCCTGTCAATGTTTTTGGGCAACTGCCTTCTCAATCACCTTACCCCCCCCCCCAAAAAAAAGATACAGGTCTTTAATTATTAAGGTCCAAGGGATCCAGGGAAGATTTCTTCATCAGCCGTCTAACTACTACTTCTTTTGAACAGGATGGGAAATTCCCCTCCCTGAGAGGTGAATTAATAAATTCTTGTATTTGTATTTTCATGTTGGCGGCTCGCACCAAGTGCATTTGCTGATTGGGGCAAAGAAAGAAAAGGGGATGCTCCTCCAGAAACTGGGACTGTTTGGAGAGGGGGAGAGAAGGCCCCGTGCTCCTTCACCAGCCCAAAAGAGCTCTCTGAGCTCTCCTTTCTTTTCCTCAGCTACCACTACCTCCCTGTCTCCCTCCTCAGTGGTGGTTGATAAAGGGGATGCTCATGCCACCATCACCGCATAGTGCACATGCTCCTACCCCTCAAAAACACATAACTTTGGTCACTCGTAAGTTGTTGTATCACTGTATATATTTATAGAAATATATCTTAAGCTATATCTTTTCTCTCTCTTGAAGTTCTTGAAAGTCTCACAGTACATAATAAAATTCCAGTTAATGTAAATTGTAAGGAGGCATCTAAATGATATATGATATCACTGAATGTATTAAGACTTTTCCCCAGGTGTGAAGTTGTATAAAGAATTAGTAATTATCAGGAATTTATTAACATGGATAGGAAGTTCACATCAAAACTTAAACAGTGAGCTAAGCTATGATTATTAGTAAGGCTGGATACATTAAGCTGTCCCCCTTTTTTTCAGCAGCTTTGTTTAAAAAACACTTTTCTGTCCTGTTGATTGTATTTAGCATGTTTATGGCTTTCCCTGTTTTCAGGAAAAAGATGTTTTTGCATCTTTTCCTTCTCTTAGTCTTCTGTC